GGGGGGGGGGGGGGGGGGGGGGGCAGCAAGCGGCTCGGCAGCCTGAGTCTATGTCTGCAATCAGAAAATCACCCGTTGAAGCCCTAGTCTCAGCAGAACAATCACATGTCTATGGGCCCTTGAGCAAGGCCCTTACCCCCCAGCTCCAGGGGGGCTGCATGTTGGCTGACCTTGTGCTGTGACCCCCCAAGCTATGGAGAGCAAGATGGGGACAACATTCCAATGTACTTGTGCAAAAGGCAAATAAAACAAGTTAATTGTTTAACTACAGTATTATGCCTGTCAAAATGTGTTAGCTCAGCCATTTCAAAGCTAAAATCACTCCAGTGTTTGCAGCAACCATCCAATACACCCATATGTTTCTTGACTTGACCACTAACACACCTCAAATAGCTAAGCAATATCTCATTGAATTTTTTAAACTAATTAATTAATTTAATGAGCTGGTCATGACGTTTAACAAATACATGGAATGGCTGAGGTGCCCTGAGGAGAGGTTTGGGGACTGAAGCCGTGTTCATCTAGCCGTCCAAGAAGATATCAGTAACTTTTTGGAGAACAGAGGAAATCCTTACTAGTTTTTATTGTGTTACTCTTAATTTGCATATGTTCTAATGGGGGATTAATTGTGATGGGGGAATTTGTGTTTTAAGGTCAACTAAACTTTTCATCAGGCATCAAAAGAACATCAACAGTCCCTGGGGTGATGTTCACTCAATACATGGAAGAGCTTCTGGAAGGGAAGAGTACACCGGACTTCAGCCGTAAACCCATCCCTTTAATCGTCCAGGAAGGTATGGCCCCCACCACTGGTACCACGTCCTTGCGAATCATACACCTACCACTTGATTGGAGAGTATTTTTGATAATATGTATACATTGGATGAGACTTCTAAGAGTATGTCATATGCAACCATAAAATATTATTCCAAAAAATACTATTCCAACTGAATTAAGTGAAATATGCTTAAAGTTTTAAAATAGTTCAAATGTCATCTGGGGACTTCTCAGAGCCACTTACAGTACAAACGTCATTAAGAGTGAGCTAGAGCACAACATGCAGCGCAGAAGCTATTTCAATAAGCAGCTAATTGTCTATGACCATGCATGTTATTGAGTAATTATTAATCACACCAATGGCTATACAGTACATGCATAACCGTAAGGCCATCCTCAGAGCAGAACCAAATTTGAGTAAATCGGTTGGCTAATTAATACAAACAAAATGCATGGTCCTTGGCCTTGGTGTGCTTTTGAAATGTGGGTTTGTTTAATAAACAATGCCCATGAGGTTAATAGACTAAAAACAGTCCAAGGTGACAGAAAACACTGGGAAAATAAATGCTATCTTGTTATTTGTAATCATACTGTAAATGGTATCAAAAAGGCTTAAAGAGCGTTTAACAGTGAATGCCCAAACATTCACCCATATCTCACCTCAAAAACACAGTACCAGGTAATATCCTGAGTAAGATAAGGATCTGATTGATATTTACACTCCAGTGAAGTGATTTACTAACCTCAACAGAGCAGGTGATCGCTGTCGTAAACCACAGAGCGCAGAGAGACGCTGCATATCGTCAGGGATCGCTTTTCCGACAGGCTATTAAATGAAGCACATAATTTATGATTATGACAGCTAACTAGCCTCGCCACCCCGACCTGGATATGCGGTTAGAATATGGATGGATGTATCTGAGGATGGATGGATTGACAAGTCCCTGTGTTCAGACATCGTGCCATATTTGGAATTGGAGAACGACGAGAAACTTCTTGGCGGGTGAAAGAGCTCCACAGACACAGACATCTGACCCAGCGGCGTGAAATAACTGATTAAAAGGACCTTTCAAATATTTTTAAAGGCAGCGTTTTTATGAACCTTTTGTAATTACTGATATTACTACATTCACTTTCTGCTGAAATAGGATGTCATATGTCATGTCATCGGACTGCTAATCACATGTAAACAGACAAAAAGGTCACAAATGCATAATGGACTTTATAGTTAAGAAATGACTTGTTACTCACATTAATCCAGACGATGAATCTAAAGGCAGTGAAAATCATTTTCACATAAATTAGTATCAGTTGTTGTTTTCTTAATCATGTATTGACAACCAGGCTACATTTGTTATCCCAAAAAGAGGTAAATTGACTGCCTTCAAATTCAACTTCAATTGTGATTGCAAGTAGGTAGGCTATTACGATACTACGACAGTCCAGAGGAAAACAAAACAAAAAAAATCAAACTTAAACTAAACTACAGAACCTTGGAGCTTTTTAACTCGACCAACTCGGACATCGAGTTGGTCGGTTGATTTTTTTTCAGCTTGTACCTAGACTGAAAACTCAGAACCCGACAAAACAAAACAGCCCTGCTCAAACTTGTACGGATCGAGACGCGTAATCCTATAGATTTCTGTGCACGAAAGAAAGTGAAGTCTTTGTGTTTTCTTGGACAACATGTAACCGGAGTTTGTCTCCCTGTGGACAAAATGCAACACTTACTTGATTTCGTTATTAAATAATGCTTTTTGCGGCATACAATATATTTTATGCACGAAAACGAGCGCTTGACCCATGGCGCCCCATACAAAGATGGCAATAATTTCATTGCATGACATTCCAATGTGAAAATAAAACATGATTAGCTGAATTCTGTCCACTGTATGATTTTGCATTTATCTAAAGTACTTAGAGACGCATGCAAATTTATAGTACATGGTGCACAGTTTTAAACATATTTAACCTGTTCCCACAAGATTTAAAAAAAATCACCTTATTGCACACCAGGGTATCAAATTATTGCTCCATATTATACAGTAATCGTGGCCCCTAAGAAAGTGAGCAGTGACAACAACAAACCATAGAGGAAAGCAGTGAGAGTAACGCAATGCATTAGTAATGCAGTATTAATGTATCTGATTCCTATGCTTTATAAATGCAACAGAACTATTTTTTAACAAACACTTAAAAAATAAAAGTATACATTTATATATACTCTGAACAGCAAATACCACTATCTGGGACTGTTTTGCTTACTAAAAATTTTGTATGGTGAAAGTTGTTCACCGAAAATCTTATTTGAACTTTATTATTAGAGCCGTCATAATAAAAAAGTTTGTAAGCTTATAACCTCACAGTCGAGTTAAGTTTTTGTTTCTTGGCATCACATTTAAGGGCTGTGATACTGATATATTTCAAGAACAAATTAACTTAAACCTTCACGCAAAGTGTAACAAAATACTCTTCTCCTTTGTGTTTGCTTTGCTTCAGCTGATATAGATGCCAGTTCTGGAAAGAAGACTGAGAGGAAAGGCAGATGGGTTGCTGAGAGCGGAATGGACTTAGAGAAAATCCCAAGTGAACAGCAAGAAAAACTGATAAGGGACATGGAAGAGATGAAGGATATGGCTGAAAAGGCCCAACTGGAATGGGAGGAAGGATTTGGTGCTAGTCCGGGTGGGGCTGGAATGAGTGGTGAAGTTGGTGGTATAATTGTTGCAGTAGGTGGTGCTGGTGGAATCAAAGGGGGGAAAGGGGGGAAAGGAGGTAAAGGTGGAGCTGGAAAGGCTGGTGGAGCAGGTGGAGGGGCTGGTGGAGCAGGTGGGGCCGGTGATGCTGG